AAAAGAAACTTTTGTTTTGGTCTTTTTGAGACAGGATCTTCCTGTATAGACCCAGCTGGCTACAGGAATTCACTATGTTGACCAGGCTGGCCTTGAAAGCAAGAGATTTGCTGAGATCAAAGGCATACACCACCACACCCAGCTCAATGGAATATTTAAGGACCTTTCTATTCACAAAAGTTATACTGAATGTTTTCATAAAAGCTCATTAAGCAACAAAAGAACCATGAAGGAACCAAAAATTCATAAACTACAGAATTTTCCATAACTAATGGAAACATAACTAATAAAACAGGTAGAAAAGCTGGGCATGCTAGTGCATGCCTTTAATCCCAACACTCTGAGGCAGAGAGTTCAAAGCCAGCCTGAAACTAAAAAAAAGATAGAAGTCGGGGGTGGAGATGTAATTCAATACAGTGCTTGTCTATCATGGATGAAGTTCTGCATTCAACCTCTAGTACCACATGACCCTGGCATGATGGCAAACACCAATAACTGCAGCATTCAAGAGGTGGAGGCTGGAGAATATTCAGTTATAAAGTAGATGGAGGTCAGTCTAGATAGAAGTTTCAAAAACAAAACAGACTAAGTTGGGGATACAGTTCAGTAAACTCAGTTAAAGCCCTTGCCTAGGAGTTGTACAAGCCCTGGATTGAATCAATCCCCTTCATCACAAAAAGAAAATCATGTAAGAGATGCTAGTCAAGATGAAGACAATGTTGCATTAGCATAAAAGTAAACAAGTCAAACAGAACAGACCAGAACACAAACAGATTCACATATATTCAAGACAACTGAAATTTTGAGAAAGGTACCAAACAATGTAACAGGAAATGGATAATTGTTATAGCAAATGATGCTGGAATATATTTTAGCATGCCAAAAAACAATAATAATAAACTGGTCTTTTTGAGACAAGGTCTCTCTGTAGCCCATCTGGCCTGGAACTCCCTGTGTAGTCCAGACTGGCCTCAAACTCAGTGATTCATCTGCTTCTGCCTCCCTGAGTGTTGGGATTAAACTGAATTCTTCATCTCATATATTAATACAAAAATTAACCTGCGTGGGGCTGGAGAGATGGCTCAGCAGTTAAGAGCACATGCTGCTCTTGCAGAGAACTCAGGTTCAGTTTCCAGCACCCACATGGTGGCTAAGAAATCCTCAGTTAACTCCAGTTCCAAGGGATTCAATGCCATCTACTGGCCTCCACAGGCACTGCCGTGTGAACAAAACATTCACATAAAAATAAAGTTGTTTTTTTTTTTTAAATTAACTTTGAGAGTCAGCAAATGGCTCAGCAGGTAAGGGCACTTGCCACCAAGACTGACAGCACAAGTTCAATCCCCAGAGGCCAGGCCCAAGGACTGGGGTCAGGGGAGGGCTAACTTGTTCAGGACCCCACCCCCACACCCCCCATGAGCTTACACGAGACATCCAGGGAATCGTCTTGGAACTTGTGGAGACATGGTTCAGTGGTTAAGAACACTGGTTGTTCTTGCAGACCAGCTGAGGCTACAGAGACCGTCTCAAAATATATATTTTATTTATTATTTTTATTTTATGTGTATGCGTGTATTACCTGCTTGTAGGTAAGTGGACCCGTGTCATGCAACAAGGAGGTCAGAAGGGGCCATCGGCCTCTTCTGTCCTCTGCGGGCATTTCACGACACGGGTGCACTTACCTACATGCAGGCAATACTTTCAAGAGACATAACATAAAAACAACAAATAAAATTAAATTTAAAAATTTTAGTATTTATGTTATATCTGTGTTTTGCCTACATATATGTAAGTACATCAATATGTCCAATGCCTTCAGAGGCCAGAAGAGGGCATCAGGTCCCCTGGAACTGGAGTCACCAATGCTTATTAACCACTATGTGAGTGCTGGGAATTGAACCTGGGTCTCCGTAAAAGCAACTAGTGCTCTTAACCCCTAAGCAATCTTTCTAGCTCTTTTTTTGGTTTGAGACAGGGTACTCCATGACACAGGTGCACTTACATATATGGAAGAAATACACTCATACACATAAAATAAAAAAAAAAAAAAAAAAAAAAAAAAAAAGAAAAAAATAAGTTTATAGATAAGAGGAAGGCCAGTTTGAGACCAGACTGGACTAGATCCTTAAAACTTTGTCTCAAAAAACCAGTGCCTTGGGATGGGATGTAGCTCAATGGTAGAGCACTTCACAAGTGTGCACAAGGCCCTGGGTTTGATCTCCAGCATCACAAAAAGGAAAAAAAAAATCTGAGTAAATGGAGAGGTAGGGAGATGGTTCAGTGGACAAAGCTCTTTGTCCCACAGGTGAGGACCAAAGTTTGGATCTCCAGAATCCCATTAAAAAGCTTGTAATTTTAGGGGACTGGAGATAGTTCAGCAGTTAAGAGCACTAGATGCTCTTATAGAAGACCCAGGTTCAGTTCCCAGCACTCACATGGCAGCTCACAACTTCCATTAACTCCAATTCCAGAGGATCTGACACTTTCTCCTGGCACCACAGGCACCACGCATGAATGTAGTTCACATATTCGTACATGCAGACAAACATAAATAAGCCTTGGGCTGGGCATGGTGCGCACGCCTTTAATCCTAGCACTCAGGAGGCAGAGGCAGGCGGATCTCTGTGAGTTCAAGGCCAGCCTGGTCTCCATAGCGAATCCAGGCCAGCTGGGGCTACACGGAGACCCTGTCTCAAAAAGACCAAAATAATACAATAATAATAATAAAACTTTTTTAAAAGGTTAAATACGTATATACAATGACCCAGACATTCCATTCCTAGTTTTTAAGCCCAAAGATACAAGCCTTTTGTAGAAAAATATTCACAGCAACTTTATTCCTGAGTCCCAAACTAGAAATCCAAATGGATGAAAAAATTAGGCAATATCTACATCACACAATATGAATCATCAACAAAAAGAATATACTACTGATACTGCAGACAGCACAAAAATCTCAAAATCAATTATACTAAATCAAAGCTGGCATATAAAAATTTCAAAAACAAAAAACTAACATTTAGGTACAATTCTACCAGTTAATCTGCAATAATAGGAAGCAGAAAATGGCTGACTAGTGAATGAATGGGTGTAAAGAAACAAACTAAGAGGCAATGAATACAAATCTATTATCCTCCCAAGAATAATGGTTACAGGTATTAACATAGTCAAACACCCACACCAGGTGGTACAGCAATCAATCCTTTAACCCAGGTGTTGACCTGGGAGGCAGAGGCAGAGTTCCAGGTCATGTGAAACACTTTAAAAAATAAATAAATAAATAAGAAAAAAACCCCAGCAGTCCCGGAGGCAAGGCGGAGGCAGAAGGATATAGGAGGCAGAAGGAGGTATATCTACATGCCAGGCAAGCTGGGGCTACAGGGAGACCCTGTCTCAAAAAGACCAAAAAAAAAAAAAAAAAAAAAAAAGAAGAGGAAGAGGAGAAAGGGAGGGAAAGATAGATGATAGATCTGGCAACAGTAATTTTTCTTTTTGCTTAATTTTTCTTTATTCTTGAGACAGGGTCTCCCCGTAGCCCCAATTGGCCTGGAATTCACAATGTAGACCAGGCTGGCCTTGATCTCAAAGATCTACCTGCCTCTGCCTCCTGAGTGCTGGGGTATTTGATCCTCTAGAACTAGAGTTACAAATTATTAGCCACACCATGTGGGTACTAGGAATCGAACCCGGGTGTGATGGCTAATCCTGGGTGTCAACTTGATTGGATCTGGGATTAACTGAAATAAAAGCGATCTTCTTGATTGGATAATGTGGGTGTTACCTTCTGATGGCAGCCCATACAAAAGGCCACAGGAGAGGAGACCGCCTGGTTTCTTGCTGCTTGCCTTCTCTCTCACTGGTGAGTTCATCTTGCTGCTGTAGACTGAAGACTAGCTGATCTTTTGGAATTTGTCAGACCTTCAGCGCCAGATTGGGATGAAACATCCAGCCTTGTGGACTGAGCGACTACGGATTCTCAGCCTCTCCAGCGTGGTGCAGCCATTGTTGGACTACTTGGACTCTATCATGTGAGCTAAGCTGATAAATCTCTATACATATATATATTCATTCTACTGGTTCTGTTTCTTTAGAGAACCTTGACTAATCTGCAAGAGCAACCAGCACTCTTAATAGCCTGAGCCATCTCTCTAGCCCAAGTTCATGATTTTCTAAATTCCATCCAAGTTATTTGGGAAGTTAGGATGTTCCCATTTGTTGATTTTATTAACCAATATTCATTCATCTAATACTACTGAGTACAATTCAAGGCAGTATGATTAAAAACAGTGACACAGAAAGTCTGCACTCATACCATTAAAGCAAAGAAGTAAACCATATAAAGATCAACACATGACAGACATGTAAACCTCTAAGTTTAGCCAAACTATTTGAAAAAAGAACTTTTCTGGTTAGAATAAACTAAAAAAGACAGAATAAAGGAAGAAGGTGGAGAGGGAGACGGTGGCATTATTATCAGAAGACACCAAGACAGAAAAAGAATAGAAGTAGGAAGATCCGTTAGGAAAAAATATGTAAGACCAAAAATGCTAACACTCCTTTACTCCAACTAGAGAGACTAAGGCAGGACAATCCAAAGGTCAAGACCAGCCTGGGCAAAGTAGTAAGATGTTGGTCTCAAAATTAAAAAGGGTTGGGGTCGGGCAGAGCTGCTCATGCAATAATTCTAGTACTCAGAAGCTGAAGAGACGGGTACTGTCACAAATTCAAGGAAAACTAAGATTGCATTGTGCAGTTCCAGTCACCATAGTGAGATCAAGCTGCAAAAAAATAGGGGGAAAGAGGAGGTACAGGTCTGCACTAGAGACATGCCTCAGTTGATAGAATGCTTGCCTAACACTCATCACAAAGCCCTAGGTTCAAACCCTAGCACTGAACAAAGTCTGAAGGCATACAACTACAATCTCAGCACTTGAAATATGGAAGCAAGAGGATAATTAATTCAATACCAGGACTGGGGATATAGTTCAGTGGTACACAATACTTGCCTAGCATGCCCAAAGTCCTGTTCAATCCCCAGCAACACACACACACAAATCAAGGTTCTCCTCAGTTACATATTAAGTTGGGAGGCCAGCCTGAGACCCTATACAAAAGAAAAGGAGGGGACAGGACATGGAGGTGCACCACTTTAAATCCCAGTACTTGAGGCGCAGAGGCAGACAGATCTCTGTGAGTTATAGACCTATACTATATAGTGGCACAGTTGGAAGAATGTTTGCCTAATGTATGAAGCCCTGGGTTTAATCCCTAGCACAGCACAAAAGCAAGTGAATATTGCTGCTGCATACCCAGCAATTCAAAGTCAAGGAGGTTAAGAAATTCAAGGTTATCCTCAGCTACACAGCAAGCTATAGACCAGAGAGGAAAGGAAGAAAGCAGTCTCAGTAATTTTCCCAGGCACGCCTTGAACTCAGGCTAAAGCAATAAATCCTGCTGCCTCAGCTCCCTGAATAACTAGAATTACAGTTAAGTGCCACTATGCCTGGCTCTTAACATAATATTTTACTCTAGCTCCCTTACCACAAGTTTTTAAAAGTCAACTCAAATTTTCTGAGAACAGATTTGAAGTATTAGGACACTGTCAAATTCAACATGGTCCAAATAAAAAAGTTAATCTTTTTGGTTTAGTTTTTTGAGACAGGGTCTCAGTCTGAAGCCCAGGCTGGCCTCAAACTCACAGCAATCATCCTCAGTATGCTTGGTGTCCTAGCTAGCTTCAGCTGTAAACTTGACAGATGGTAGCACCATCTCTAGGCAGGTTGGCCTGGGCTGTATAAGAAAGCTAGCTGCCTATGAACTTAAGCCAAAGAGCAAGGTTGAGCAGTCTTCCTTCCATGGGAGGTCCGGCCTCGACTTTGTTCAATGATGGACTATGACCTACAAGTGTAAGACAAATAAGCCCTTTCCTTCCCAAGTTGCTTTTGATCACTGTTTTATCACAGCAACAGAAAAGAAACTGAGATACTGTGATTACATCCTATCAGGCTCAAAATCTTTTTTCTACTTCTGCTACTGAGGACTGAACCTAGGGTCTCATACATATAAGGCAAGCATACTATCACTAAGCTGTATCTAATCCTCAAAAATCCTCATTTTCATTTACTTCAAACTGTATCACTAGCAACATTTTCAGTTGATTCCCCTAAGATGACTTATTCATTATGATAAAATGCCCACCAAACCCAGGTATCTGAATAATCTATTAAGTCATTCTTCCATATAAAACTGAAGTTCCATGAAAAAAGTAGTTCATAATGGGCTGTGTAGCACAAGCCTTGTTATGCTGGAAGGACACAAGGTTTATCTTACCATTGTGTTTACATTAGTGCTAATGGTCTATACAATTAAAGAGGCAGATTTTTTTTTTTGGTAAAAATTATCAAAATGAGCTGGGCGTGGTGGCACAGGCCTTTAGTCCCAGCATTTGGGAGGCAGAGGCAGGCGGATCTTTGTGAGTTTGAGGCCAGCCTGGTCTACATGGTGAGTGAGTTCCAGGACAGCTGGGGTTACAAGGAGACCCTGTCTCAAAAAGACCAAAAAAAAAAAAAAAATTATCAAAATAAATCTCTGAAAGGGTTTTGCAGAGCCCAAAAATAATCAAGAAAAAAATCCTGAAGGGCTGAAGGTACATTTCCAGCAGTACAGTGTTTGAGTAACATGAGTAAGGCCTTGGAGTTCATCTCCAGCACAACAACTACTACTCTCAAGTTACATTGCTTCCTTTCCGGAGATAAACCACGGAAACCCTAGGCTCTAGCCGGAGCACTAACCCCAAACAATGGAGTTTTCCCGCCTCCTAAAGGCCCCGCCCCCAGCTCCAAAGCCCAAAGGAAAGCGAGGGCACGCGCTCAAGGCCCCGCCCTCCCGGCCCCGCCTCTCAGGGCCTACGGCCCAGCCTCCCTCCTCGTGGGTTTTTTTTTTTTTTGGCGCCAAACCTGTTGGTCAAATTCTAGGATCGTCTCAAGACTCTCCACAGAGGCCGATGGCCGGCGTGCGGGGACAGCTGAGGGGAGAGGGCAGACCCGCACCAGAGAGCGCCGTCCTCCAGCCCACAGGCCCGGGCCGGGGGAGGAAGAAAGGGGCCGGCGATGGAGACAGCCGCCGCAGCCCCCGGCAAGATGGCGGCCGAGAAAAGCGGGACAGGGGGCGCCTGACGTTACCGCCGGTGCGGGGACTCTCGGTGAGCAGGGCTTCTTCACCTGCCAGCCCGCCCCGAACACCCGCAACTGTGCGTGAGGCGGCGGCTATCCCACCCAGCAGTGCTTCCCGCCCGCGGAGCCTCAGTCCCCCGGCTCTCCCCGCCGACTGACCAGTGCCTCGAGCTCGCCACACTCCCGCTTACTTGTCGGCGGAAACCTGGTCCGCGGCGATGGCAGCAGTGGCTGTAGACTCTGTAGCCATCGTTCCCCTGAGGTGGTGGGCCAGTGAGCGGAATACAGAGGAAAACACAGAGGATTCAGGATGCCAAAGACTTACTCAGGTTCAGAAAATGGCAGATTGGAGACCTCACGGCGGTTGGGGCCCGCTTATATACCAGGGCCCTTACCCCGCCCATCCACTTCCGGATCCTCCCCCTCGGGTTTAAAGGGCCAGGATTCTCAACACCTTTCTACCACAAGGACACTCCCACCCACGCCGTCGTCTCCCTTAGGGTTCCTTCCCTCCCTGGCCCGCTTTTCCTTAAAAAAATATGCAGCACCATTTACCTTGACAGTCCTGATTAGGAACATTTGGGCTTTTTAAAAAAAAAAATATGCAGCTTCCCGCTTTGGTAGTAAGTCGCATTAGAAGCACCAGAATCTTGGTACTACAACTTCTGACAGGTCGCCAGCCTGGAGCTTCCACATAAAGTGGAGCCGGTTTGTCTCTGCGGGAGTGGAAGGAGTAGCCGAGAGTTTCCTTCTGGCCCGATACCCGAGAAGGTAACGGGTCTTCTCGATGGCCTCTCAGTCTTAACGGATGGAAACGCAGGAGCTGCCCAAGAGTCCAGCAGCAACTGCTAGAACTGACCAGAGAGACGCATGACCCTGGGCCTCAGCAACTACTGACGCAAGAAGATGCTGGCCTAGGATTGGCTACAGCTGAAACTACCGCGCTAGATTCAAAGCTTGGAGCTGCGGAGGGACACGGATGGGTCCTCTCTCTAGGCCCACCCCCTTTGATCGGCCTAATCCGGTTATGCCATCCTCTTAGACCCGCCCTACATTCCAAATCTGACTTGTCAAGTTTCTACCTTTGCATCACATTATTTAATCTTCAGCGATAATAATACTGAGGTCGGTGTTGGTCCTATATACTCGGGGAAAAAAAAAAACCTTACGATTAGGAGGTGTGACATACTAAGACTTGCTAGGCAAAATGGTTATAGAAAGCAGTGTACTTGGTTCTTGGGCAGGCTGAATGATAGAGGCCTGGCTTGTGACTTTTTAAAAAGCAAAGACTCAGGGCTGGAGAGATTGCTCAGCGGTTTAAGAACACTGTTCTTGCAGAAGATCCAGGTTCGAATCCCAGCACCCACGTGGCAGCTAACAACTGTCGGTAACTCCAGTCCCAGGAGATCCAACAGCCTCTTCTGACCCTCGCAGGTGCACTTATCTTTATGCAGGCAATACACATATACACATAAAGTAAAAATAACAAATACAAACTTAAAAAATAAATAGCCGGGCGTGGTGGTGCACGCCTTTAATCCCAGCACTCAGGAGGCAGAGACAGGCGGATCTCTGTGAGTTCAAGGCCAGTCTAGTCTACATAGTGAGTTCCAGGGCAGCTGGGGCTACAGAGAGACCCTGTCTCAAACCTGTCTCAAAAAGAATAATTAATTAATTAATTAATTAATTAATTAAATAGCAAAGACTCTGGAGAGATGCCTCGGCAGTTAAGAGCACTGACTGCTCTTGCAGAGGACCCGGGTTCGATTCCCAGAACCCACATGGTGGCTAACAACCATTTGCAACTCCAGTTCTAGGGAAATCTGACTTCCTCTTCTGATCTCCACAGACATGAGTGCACTTACATACATGCAGGAAATACACTCATACACATAAAATAAATTTTATGGGACTGGAGAGATGGCTCAGATCAGCTGACTACTCTTGCAGAAGACCTGGGTTCGATTTCCAGCATCTACATGGAGGCTGACAACCGTCTGTAACTCCAGTTCCAGACAAATCTGACCCTCTTGTCTGATCTCCAGGCACTGCACAACATGGACGCACTTGCATACATGCAGGCATAACACTCATACACATAAAAATAATAATAAATTAGCCACGGGTAGTGGTGCACACCTTTAATCCCAGCACTAGGGAGGCAGAGGCAGGCAGATCTCTGTGAGTTCAAGGCCAGCCTGGTCTACATAGTGAGTTCCAAGACAGCTGGAGCTACAGGGAGACCCTGTCTCAAAAAGACCAAAAAATAATAATAATAATGAATAAAATATTTTTAAAGAATTTTTGGTTAAGCGTGCCAGATTCTTCCCTTTTGAAATGAAACAGTACATAATTTGGCATTTTACAGGACCCCACAGTTAAAAGACTTTTAAGAGACTGAACTGTTTTTTAATATTTTTTTAATGTATATGAGTGTATTCCCTGCATGTATAATGTTCAGGGTCTGAAAAATTCCCTGAATTGACCACTTGGACACTGAGACTCAGGAGAGCACCAAGGGCAGCAGTAGGTATGGAACAGAGCTGGCCTGAGCCTATAGGACAAACTGTGTGTGTGTGTGCCCTGGATGGCAGAGCCTGAGAAGTGAAACTACCCAAGCCCTTTGGAGCCCAGAAGATCTTGAGTGAATCCCAGATGTCCAGCTTTGTGCTACTTTGTTAAACCTTGGTTTTCTGTAAGTGTGCCTGATTCTTTGACTTTACAGGCACCACAGTAGTAAGAGACTTTTTAAAGAGACTGAACTTTTTTTTTAATTTTATGTGTATGCGTGTATCGCCTGCATGTAGGTAAGTGCAATGTCCAGGGAGGACAGAAGAGGCTGTTGGATCCCCTAGAACTGTAGTTATGGACAGTTGTTAGCTGCCATGTGGGTGCTGGGATTCAAACCCGGGTCTTCTGCAAGAACATCAGTGTTCTTAACCACTGAGCCATCTCTCTAGCCCTAGTTTTTATTTATTTTTACTTTTTAAAAATATTTTATTTTATTTAAGCTGGGCATGGTGGTGCGCGCCTTTAATCACAGCACTTGGGAGGCAGAGGCAGGTGGATCTCTGTGAGTTCGAGGCCAGCCTGGTCTACATAGTGAGTTCCAGGCCAGTTGGGGCTACAGAGAAACACTGTCTCAAAAAGACATATATTTTTTTATTATTATTTTTATTTTATGTGTATGTGTGTATTGCCTGCATATAGGTTAAGTGCACCCAGGTCATGCAATGCCTGCAGACAGAAGAGGCTGTCGGATCCCCTGGAATTGGAGTTACAGACAGTTGTTAGCTGCCATGTGGGTGCTAGGAAACGAACCCAGGTCTTCTGCAAGAACAGCCAGTGTTCTTAACTGCTGAGCCATCTCTCCAGCCCCCTATTTTTACTTTTTTTTTAATGTGTATGTGTGTATTGTCTGCACGTAGGTAAGTGCACCTGTGGCGTGCAATGCCAGAGGAGGTCAGAAGAGGCTGTCAGATCCCCTGGGATTGGAATTATGTGGGTCCTGGGATTTGAAACCAGGTCTTCTGCAAGAACAACCAGTGTTCTTAACTGCTGAGCCATCTGTCCAGCCCCTGAGACTGAACTTCTAAAGTGTTGGAATTTTTAAAGACTCTGGGATTTTTTTTTTAAGTTGTACTGTTTTATATTGTAATATGACTATTAATATGAGATCTTGGGGAGTAAGAAATGGAAAGATTGCCAGGCATGGTGGCGCATGCCTTTAATCCCAGCACTCGGGAGGCAGAGGCAGGCAGATCTCTGTGAGTTCAAGGCCAGCCTGGTCTACATAGTGAGTTCCAGGACAGCTGGGGCTACAGGAAGACCTTGTCTCAAAAGACCAAAAAAAAAAGAAATGGAAAGATTATGTCCAATAGTGATGTTTGTCAAATTGATAAGGTTGTCAAGGTGACACAGGCAGTCCTGTGTTGTATAAGAACGCTGACTGGGGGCTGGAGAGATGGCTCAGCAGTTAAGAGCACTGGCTGCTTTTGCAGAAGACTTAGGTTCAATTCCCAGCACCCACATGGCAGCTAACAACTATCCAGAACTCCAGTTCCAGGGGATCTGACACCCTCTTCTGACGTCTACTGGCATTGCATGACATGGGTCATAAATAAAATATTTGAAAAAAATAAAGCAGGTTGAGTACAGGTCAGAGGAGCAAGCCAGTAAGCAGCATTTCTTCATGGTCTGTGTTTTGGCTCCTGCTTTCAGGTCCCTGACCTGAGTTCCTGCCTTGGCTTCCCTTAGTGATGAACTGTGACCTGGGAAATATAAGATAAAATAAACCCTTTTGTCCCCAAGTTGGTTTTGGTTTGTGTTTTTATCACAGCAACTGAAAGCAAACTAGAACAGTATCTGTGTGTGTGACCGTCTCAGGTGTACAGGTACCCACAGAGGCCAGAAGAGGGGGTTGGATCCCTTAGAGCTGGAATTACAGGCAGTTGTGGCCACCCCAAATGGATATGAGAAATGGAGCTCAGGTGTTCTGAAAGAGCAGCAAGGGCTCTTAACCACCGAGTCATCTCTGCAACCCCTAGTGTTCCCTGTGTAATTAACTGTCATGTCAGATCCTCACTTTTCATTTTCATTTATTCATTTATTTATCTTCTTTTTTTTTTTTTGAAACAGGATCTCACTATGTAGCCCAGAGTGACCTGGAACTCCCTAAACTCCCTATGCAGATCAGGCTTGACTTCATAGAAATCCTCCTGCCTCTGCCTCCCAGGTGCTGGGAATAAAGGTATGTGCCATCCCCACCCAGCCTTGTTTAATTTTTTTTTTCTCTTTTTGAGACAGGGTCTCCCTGTAGCCCCAGCTGTCCTGGAACTCACTATGGAGACCAGGTTGGCCTCGAACTCACAGAGACCTACCTGCCTCTGCCTCCCAAGTGCTGGGACTACAGGAGTGCACCACCATGCCCAGCCTTTAATTTTTTTAAAAAAATTAAAATATATTCCAGGCTGGCCTGAAACTTGGCTACTTAACCAAGGATGACTTTTAACTTTTGCTCTTCCTGCCATCACCTCCCTAGAGCAGGGATTACTATGTCCAGTTTATTTGGAGCTGGGAATTGAACCCAGGGGCTTCTTGCATAAGCAAGCACTCTACCAGTTAAGCTACATTCCCCAGTTCAGATTCTCATTTTCAATGGTTTGGTGTAGGATTTTTGAATTTCCTAAAACCACCTTCATTGTTTCATGAAATATGACATCATTTGCAAGATTTACAGTTTCATTTGGCAACGGATGCAGTGAATTGTCGAGTGATTAAACAATAATGTCAATAGAGACTATAAATGTTAAGCAAGGTAAGGTATTTGAGGTAAGATAGTTGAGTCAGGAATTTTATTGTATT